TTCTCCCACCCATAAGAAGGATCTCTTACCCTGCAGGAGTTAAAGAATCCACTCTCATGACAGCATCAGACCCAGCACACAGGGTAGAATGAACACAGACAGGTGTCAGGTGGACCTGGACCCCCTACTTAGTACCCCTATGATCTGGGGCAAGTTGTTTAATCGCTGTAATGGTCAACGCTTTCATCTGTGAGTCAGAGCTGGTGACCCTCCAGTTTCTTGTAAAGGACAGAACAGGAGAGCTTGGGTGAAACAACCTGCATAGAGAAGCAGCTCCATTGCTGGAGGATTACATGGTGACGACTGACTCTCCTTGGGCATTTTTTATGCACAAGCACTGGAGGTCAGGTACATTTCTAGGCCGTCTACATATTTTATTTCATTGAAACCTCATAACAACTTTATGTGGTAGGTGGAAGGACAATCCTCATTGTACAGATAAGGAAATGGAGCCACAGAGAGGTAAAGAAGCATGTTCAAGATCACTCAGTGGCTAAGTGGAGGAGGGTGGACTTGAACCCAGGCCATCAGTCCCAGAGCTTCACTCTTAATCACTTTGAGGAGGAGGAAGCTGATTGACGCTCAGCCTCCTGGCCTTGACTCATCTCTCCTCCTTGGGTCAGGCTTCTGTAAAATCGAACAGAGTCAGTCTTATCTTCTGACATCTAGACATCCCTGCCCTGCTCATCCCCACAGGTCCCAGCTAGTCAGTTCTGTGGTGGGGACTCTGACTGACAATTTGAATAAACCAGACATCCCCCCCAAAAATATCGAATCGAGTTACTCTTGGCAGATGGGCAACGTCTAGGCTTGTCACACTATGGAATAAAAACACCCTGAAAGCAACGCCCTGGGTCTTTTTAAAAAGTCAGTCCCCAACCTCATTGACTCTGTAAGTTTGTCATCCTATATGTAAAATGTCCTTTGACTAAAGGATGCCAACAGATGGATGTGCTAAATGACCAAGTTACACAACCATCCTTGTGTTGGTGGAGAGAAAAAAATTCCGACCACCTACAGTATAAAGGCACCAAGGAGTTCCAGAAAGACTGTCACAGGGCTCACGCCACTGCCACACTACAGAATGCTTTCAAACAGTCTTTTGTCTACTTAGAAGTCGATGGCTTCTGAATTATTAATTCAGTGAGGCAAATAATTATATCACACTGTAACCTGGCAGGGAGAGTCATCTTGTCCTGACAGCTGCTGCTCCAGGCTCCTCTGCTGTACAGAAAATTGAAGAAGAATCACCAAATTCAATTTCAACTTGGTTAAGCATGTTGGGCCAAATCAGGGAAACGAAAGGGTGGGTGTTTAATTTAGTTTCTTTTCTCTGCTCACTGTATTAGTAAGGAAGGAAGCAGTGCTCTAGGCTCTGCCTGTAAAATACATCATTAACAATATAGAAAAGAGGACGGGAGGCACAGATCTGTAGGGGTGAGTCGGGAAGAATGAAAAGTGGAAGGCACCCTGTGAGGCCCCGGCAAGTTGGAAAATTCCCACAAAGTTTAGAAGCCCCCTTTCTCAGCCAAATCTCAGTAGGAGTTTCTAAGCTAAGCTTTATCACACCTATGAACTCTCCGAATTACATCACAAAAATACATCCATATACAACGTTTATCCAGAGGGAAAGCCCCTAATATCGACCAGCTTTTTCAAATCCCTGAGAGGTCACACCATATATACTCTGTTAGCCACAATCTATGCTCTGAGTTTGACCCCTTCTGTGAAACTGCTGAGTCCCCACATCCTCCTTACCTGGTCCAACACCCTGCTACCCTCCCTGCCTCCTTCCCGGCTCCCTTCTCTCCTATACCCAGCCTTGCCCGGTGTCTCCCCTGTAGCAGGGACATTTTTCCACTTTCCATTTGCCAAATTGCATCCCGACCCTCATTCCAACACCCAGCTCAGAGAATCTTGTCTACAAAAGAATGCCTTTGACTAAGTAGAAACTGCTGTTCCAATTCACCCCAATCTGTACAAGGAACAACATCAAACATCACTCTTCCCCCTCCCCGTCCGCTGCCATCGCCCCTGAAGATCCATGCTGATGCTTAGATAACAGAACACATCCCTTTGGTGTCCTACCATTTCTATCACACGGACCCCCGCATTAGTGGGTCCTTATAAACAAAGTCAATAATGAAATGAAAACTATCACAACGCACACAATTAGAATGATCATTAATGATTACAATTAATTGAGCACCTCCCACATGCGAGTGACTGTTCTAAACATTTGTACATTTAGTATTTCCTTTAATCCTTACAATCCATCCATTAATTTATTCATCGAGCAAACATATTAAGTACCTCCTGTGTGCCACATGCTACTCGAGGTGCTGACAACACAGCACTGAATTAAGACGTAAAAAGTGTTCTCTCTCTACAAGCTTAGATGTTAGTGGGTGTAGGTAGACTATAAATAAATCAATAAGTAAATATTTAGCAGCTAGAGGGTGATTGGTACGAAGGAGGAAAATGCAGCTGAGTGATGGAATGCTAAGTCCAAAGGAAAAGGCTTCACTGATCAGGTGAACAGAGAGGAGGGAAGAGAGGGGGCACCCCGCCCCCGGGAAGAAGAGAGCTCAGGCCAAGTAAGGAGCTGAGTATGAGAGCTCTAGGGAGCAGAGGTTGATTGGGTCAAGGAACAGCAAGCACAGGGTGGCTGGAGCACAGGTAAGACCTGCACTCTCTCCAGTTTACATCCAGGGAAACTGAGGCTTAACGGAGTGAAGTGGGTTGAATGGCAGCCCCCCTTAAAATACATCCTGACCCCTAGAATCTGTGATCGGCCCTTATTTGCAACAGTGTCTTTGCAGATGGAATTAAGGACCTGGAAATGAGATCATTCTGGATTATCCAGCTGGGCTCTAACTCCAATGGCAAGTGTCTCTTCTTCTTCTTTTTTTTTTTTCCCAATTTCCAGCATCTTTTATTTTTAGCAGGTGTCCTTCTCAGGGAAAGATGAGGAGAAGACACAGACACAGAGGAGAAGGTGCTGAGGGCAGAGACTGGAGTAATGCAGCCCCAAGGAACACCAACGGACACCAGAAGCTAGAAGGCACAAGGAAGAATTCTCCCTAGAGCCTCCAGAGGGAGGGTGGCCCTAAAGACACCTTGATCCTAGATTTCTGGCCTCTAGACTGGAGACAGTAAATTTCTGCTGGTTTAAGCCAGCCGGTCTGTGGTCCTTGATTATGGAGACAGTAAATTTCTGCTGGTTTAAGCCAGCCGGTCTGTGGTCCTTGATTATGGCAGCCCTGGGAAAGAGATCCAGAGAGGTTAGTTAAAATGCCCGGAGCTGTTTGGGTGGACAAGTTTGGACAGTTTGGAATTTAAATCCTGGCAATGGGACATCAGGGTGCCCATGGGGACACTCGGCCATCTACTGTCTCTGGCACACACCATACTGGCTCTTAACGACTGTGGAGCATACACTCCATCACTCACAGGCCTCTAGCATTAAGTACCCAGCCTCGGCTCCCTGGCTTTGCTTGGCCCACCCCTAGAACTACCAAACCTTTCCCGAACCCTGGGCTACAGGAATAGCTGTTTCCCATTGTAAGGACAGGATTTTCTGGCTTATTCCATTATCTGTACCAAGCAGACAGCACTGGAGTCAGGCTTAAAGGATCACCATAGTGTCACTGCGACGGGGCCAGAGGTGATGGTTTCTGAGGCGCTCATTCCCTGCAAGTCCCACGTGAGTAGAAATAGGCAGGCTTTCGTCTATGAGAAGCACCCTGGTTACTTATACCTCTGCCAATTTTCACTGAGCAGCAAAATTAGGTTTTGGACATCCTGGGCAAATCAGTGATATGATCAATGAATCTCTAAACATGTAATAGATGCTATAACTGCTCCCCTCCCCGAGAGAGGCTCTAGCTGGTCCTCTGCAAACAAACAGGTCAGACGGAGAAGCAGCCATCATGCAGCTGCTCACGCCCCAGACCCCTCTGCTCCAAGGCCCCAGGAGACCCTCAGGAGGGGCTCTCGGATAATGACATGGCCAACTGAATGGCCTTTTGTGACAGTGTTCTCCCCAATGTCTACAAATGACAGGTCAAACAGGACAGATACATAGCCCTCTTGAGGCCCAGGGACGTAGTAAGCACAGACCACAAAGCACCAAATCACCGTGGCTGCTGAAACCTGCCGGGGCCCTGTGTGACTGCGCGCATGCGTGGCTGTGACCGCGCACATGCACGGGAGGAGGTATATGGAAGCGTGAGCGCGCAGTGTCCCCTGTCCAGAGAAACTCTGATTTAACCCACCCACGTCCTTGTCCCCATCCCAGCCTTCCGTGGGGGTTGACTAATCCAGCAAACATATCGACCCAGAGCCTAGAGTTCACAGAAATGCTGTCATTTCTCTTAAAGTCAAAACCAAAAAATGAGTATTTTAGGCTGAAAACTTTTTAATACACAATATCCATGTATTTGTCTTTACATCAGTGTCACTGTCAAAAGTATATTTTAATATTTTATGGAGGAAGGAGCCCACAAAGGCTGGGGACCACAAAGTCATCACATGGACCTGATTCCCTCATGTGCCTGTTCCCATAAAGCACAGGCTTCTCAAGGACCACAGAATCGGACGGGCACCAAGGACAGGAAATGGTCCCTGGTGCAAGACTCACGCCGAGGCCAGCATGCCTCCTGCGGCAGGCTCCCTCAGCCACGGCCCTCACTTATGCCAGGCATGCTCTGCTCTCTCTCCTCAGACTCCTGTTCACCAAGTCGAATGAGACACTGCAGGAATGCAGGCGCAATCGCGGTGCGAAGGAGAACACGTGACCCGCCCCAGGACAGATAAGCAAAGTGCTAAAAAAAAAATTCACAGATGGAGGCCATCAGTGCCACCTGGGGATTAAAGAAAGCACCCAGGAGGAGGACCATCCTCCGCTCCTTACAAAACGTGCTCTCCCACTGCTTAGCTGGCATTCCTCACGGGCGCCCAACCCACGTGGCTAGTTGACAAATCTGCAATCCACTTACCTCCAAAGTGAACTCTCAGTCACACTTCCCAGGTTGAAGTCATACAGCTTCGTCAGGATAAGTATAACCTGAGAGGGGGACAAGGAGGACAGAGGAGAGGGACAAAGGGAGGGGGAAAAAGGAAGCTGACTTTAGTTTGTGTAACAACATACAGTGCATCTCAAACCACCCAGAGGAGAGCTTAGCATTTATCCTGTGAGTGGAGGGGTATTATAGGATCAAGCAAGGGGGAAAAATTACTAATTTAATGCTTCCCCGTAACTGGTAGCATTTATTTTAATCCTGACAATGCTTTGCATTTGAAATAAAACACGTCAACAGGAAATAACTGGGTTATCAACAGTTACTTCTCCACATCTGTCCTCCTTCAAGGTCAGACACGGGCCAGCTGGCTCTGTTCACCTGTGTGGCCACCCAGAGATCAGAGGATGGTCTTGCTTTTGATCTGAAGATGACTCTGACTTACAGACATGGACCTAAAAGAGTAATAAGAAAGAACTGGGTCTGATTCTGTCTGTCCACAGAGGGATTCAAAGAGATTTTATGTTCCCATCACTGGGGCCTCAGAGCCATAAATACTTGAATGACAGGCAAGCCCAGTCCCCAGCATCCTCTATGCCCCCACCATGGAGTAAGCGGGTCATCAGACTGGACTCCAGGACCACTTTCCTGACTCCAGTTGAAATTAAGAAACTCAGAAGGGAGCTGTATGTGTCAGAGAGCTGAAGCTACCTGTAATAGATTAGCAGTTTCCTGAAATAATCTTGGGTTGGTCAGGCTGGTCCCAGACCCTTTAAACTTCTCCAGCTGGGGACTTGGATATCAGACGTTTCCCTGCCTGCCCATCATGCATCTGGACGGTGGCTTAGGCACACCTCTGTATCTGCAAGGATTCTAAGCATATGCACCTGAATCGATTTTAATCAAAACACAGGTGCCTAATATACAGTGCCTGCCTACACGCGTGATAATCCAGTTACACATAATTGTGTTTATCTAAATTTAATGCACAACTCATTTCACTTTCCTCAGCTCCTTCCCATTCCACAATTTAACGTCCTCCAGTTCATTTGCACAGCAGCCATTAAACTCTTTTCGAGATAATGAATTTCTGCTACCAAGATGGGACTTTCCCATTCTAGGTATCCATTTAAGATTAAAGAAAAATAATCAGCCATTATATTGAACATTTTTATGGCATTTATCTGACGACAAAACACTAACTTTGAGATTTATTCTCATCCCGCACCCCATGGGGTCGTCAGCACCATTTCCATTTTTTTTATGTAAACTATGAAAAAATTAGAGGCAAGGATATGACCCATTATGGGTCAAAGAGAGACCATGGAAAAGTTGGTTTGGAACGTTCAGCTTCTCTGCAGGGTCAGGACTGGAGGGCTGGGAGGTCTCCTCTCTGACTGTATCCTGTGATAGGCAGTAGTGGGTTGGCCGGAAACAGCCAAGCCAAGAACATCAATGACAAGGCTATTTGTAGAACATTAGAATAATCTGCCAAGGTACCTGTCCTATTGGCATAGCCCAAGGAGCATGTATGCTATGCAAAGCATAGTTCTTCACTGTTACTCAGTGGTCCACGCCTCTCCCATTAATTGTGAGTTTCCTCATTTGTTAAATTCAGAGGCTAATGAAGACAGGGGAGTTAACCACACCTTCTCCAACTGAAGACCTAGCAATGTGCCAATAACTCCTATTTGTTGAACTGATGCTAACACATACACACCCCAGACTTCTCATCATCTCACCTCTTTCATCTACAAAGTCATCCTCACAGTCACTATATAAAAACACGGGTGGCTATGCACAGGCCATCCCAAATTCTGGACAAACAGACTCAAAACTATGCTCTTCTAGGAAACAGGTCAGAACACCCATCTAGAGTCTGCAGGAGCAAGTCAGGCTACTTCACTGTCTCGCAACATCAAGCCTTCAGGTACACTGAACTACCTCCAAAAACTGCAAAGCCCACAAAGAGAGAACAAAGTGATGTCAGGGGTCAGAGTTCATGTAATTAATAGAGCATCTAACACACAAATGAGCCTGGAAAATCTTTCTATGAACCCAGAGCCGTTTCTATTCTATCAGCCTCCTTATCCAAATCTTGGACCACTTTCCTTCCCTCCCTCCATCTTCTCTGTCCTTAATATGTTTCTTGTGTATCTAATCTCATCTTAGTGTCTGCTTCTTGAAGGACCCAGACAAACACATCCTTCCACACCTCCATGAATATTATTTCTGCCCTTGGGGTAGATTGTTTCAATTTTGCCTCTTAATTCGTGCACTTTCTTGGTTAGAAATCTTCACTGGCTCCCACTGCCTAAGGGTGAAACCCAGACTCCTTACCTGATACATAAGGCAGCCCACAGTCTGACCACATCCTTTCCTCCAACCACTCTTCAATAGTTCTCAAAAAACTGCCCTCTGCTTTAGCAATCTAAGTTTCCAAGGGGCCGCCAATAAGCCAAACCCGTTCTCACATCTCTGCCTTCTTTCATGCTGTATCACTGTATCATTGCCTGTGCCCAGCCCTTCTATGACTTCCTGGACGTGCCTGACTTTGTTCAAGAAACAGCTCAGGGTCCGCCTTCTTCAGGCAGCTTCCAGCATTGTCCCAGCCATCAAAGTCCTCTCTCTTCTGAAGTCCCATTGCACTTAAAACCGATTTAAATCATCTGCCACTTAGTTAAGCATTATCTAAGTAGCTTCTGGATGTCCTATGATTCCAAACAACCTAAGTTGGGGTTCATGTTTTGAACTTCTGTCTCCCAAACAGACAGGCTCAGCTTGTCAAAGGTTCCTAAAAATCATCATTCTTGAGTCAATGAAAGATAATGGTGTTTTAGCAGTAAATTGTAGTCTTCAGAAGGGGATGGTATTAATCTAGGCTAGCACTCTCATTTTATAGATGAGGAAACTGAGACAGACAGAGAGGAAGTGACTCAAGTTAAAGCTCCAACAATGTGTGGCCTTGACCAATGACCCAGAACCCTGTTCTTCTCAGTCTATGAACAAAGCTGGAGACTAACAGTCACTGGAGAGCCTGTTATGTGCAGATTCCCTGGTCCCACCCCAGTATGTTTGACCTGGTGGATCCTGGGGAGGGTCTAGATGTTCTGCTGCGCCTATCAGAGGACCCACTTTGAGAAAGATTCCATCACATCATGATTCCTCCCCCAACTCTGTGCTGCAGCGACTCCACGCTTCCACTGTGGTGGAATCCTCATCGAGAAAATTAAACTGAGTTGGACTTTACAAAGAAAGCAATTCATAGAGATGTGTGAGGAGGATGTCTCAGAAAAATCACCCCAAGAGTCCCCAGAGGAAAGGACCAGACACTGAAAAGTAGGGGCTGGAAGCGTCTTTCCTCCTGGAGCCTGCACAGCAGGATAATAACAAAGTTATGAAGAGATGATAATGGAACCTTTAGCCTTAAGATATTCTGTGCTTAGCCAAGAAAACCAAGATCAAAAAAAGCCTGCCAAGCCCTGGCTTCTCTCACCATTCAGAGCCTCCCAAAGGCCACCAGAGAGAAGGGAATTACCAAGGAAGAAAACTAAAGGCAGATGCAGTAAACCCACTACCAAGCCCCAGGCTGCTGGGCGAGGCCTCAGATCAGAAAGAAAAGGTGTGAGTGCATCTCAGGAACCACCCGTGGCTAGATGAGGCACGCAGCAACACCGGACTTGACTCCCCTCCAGCAAATGCCCCCGGATGAGAGCTGGCAGTGGAACTCAGAGAAGGAAAAGCAGGAACCAAACATTGATTGAACCCCTACTCTGTGCTAAATAGTGACTGAGTGCTTCGCAACCCTCATAACAAACTTTTGAGACTGAGCAGGTATCATACAGCACCCCCATTTTACAGATGAGTAAAGTGAGTCCTAAGAGCTTAGCAGTTTGCTTCTCCAGGCCAGAGCCGGCATTCCCACCCAGGGCTGTAAGAGGCTACCATGCCTGTTCTGCTCTAATTTAACATCCAGCGAAAGTCTGCGTGAGCGTTTTGTGTTCAGGGCAATAAACAGGCACATGCAGAGTAGAGAAGCATATCCTTGCTCTCAGAGAGTTTATCTCTCAATCAGGAATTCCACAACTATTTACTGAGCTCCCCTTCTGTGAATTAGAAAGGCACCTTGACCCAGCGCTCAAGGCCCAGGGGTGAAGGTAACTTTTGTTTTCTTTGTTTTTGGATAAAGAAATCGGAAACAGAGATATGTAATGAGGAAATAACTAGATAAATTGTTGGAAGACCCAGGTTTGTCAAATAAGTTCCTTTTTGACCAACTGGCTACAATCCCTTGGGGGATTTCAGACAGGAGAGATGAAAATAAATTGGAATGATTCATGAGTAAATAAAACTTCTCTCTTAAAATATGCTATACACATATTGATACACACACATAGAATGGTGAAGTCACTATATATATATATATGTATATATATACACACACACATATATATACACACATATATAAAAGCTCGTATGTTTAGGTACATGTAACCTTAAATTGGTATCAGATATCTTCTCCGGAAAAACACTTGTTCATACATCTTATAACTTCTGTCACATTGGATTAATATGATTTCTCCATATGTCTGTCTGGTCTGTTAGATTATGATGTCTTGGAGGTTAGAAATCAGGTCTCGCTCAACTCTGCATCGCCAATGCCTAATACAACGCCTGACACATGGAGGGTGTCATACAAGGTCCACTGAATGAATTATAAGTGAATGACAATAAAGGAAGGGATGAGATGATAAATGTATCTGAGAGGTACAGATAATACGCTATAAGAGTTGAAACGAGGAAGCAATTAAATACAGAAAATGTGCCAGCAAAGTCTTCATGAAGCAAAGATTGTAAGAGCTGAAACTCAAAGTATGAAGAATTTAAATATAGAGAAATGGAACTCACTCCCTTGCCTGCCTGGCCGCCTTCTCTTTCTTTCTCTCTTTCTCTTTCTTTTCCCTCCCTTCCTTCCTTCCTTCTTCTTCTTTCTTCTCTCTTCTCTTCTTTCCCTCCTCCCTCCCTCCCTCCCTCCCTCCCTCCCTTC